TAATATAATGTGGGAAATGGCGAAAGAACGGAGTGAAACGGTCAAAATCCTGCGAAGAAAAGCCTCCGTTCTCAGTGACTTGTAAATCGATTTCGGACGAGTTTCCCGTAGGCATCTTACCAATCACCGCTACCGAAGATACGGCTGCATATGTGTACCCATGTATGCATGCAGCATCACGGCCGCTTCATACCAATCCCTTCGCTTCATAATTTGCTTAGCAAATGAATGAATACGAGCGTCAGGAACGGTCGTCCATTTGTGGGCGGGCGGGCGTGGCGGGCGTTTGGGACGTAAAGTTGTGGCTTGATAGGGCCCTTATAAGGGCACCTTCCTTGGAAAAGCCGCTATGCAGCGCCTGCTCAGGGTCGCGGAATTCCGTCCTGCCAGGCGTATTGATCCTAGTCGTCTTGGGGGATTTATCGTGCCAACTGCCTTTAAGCAGTCCGGACTGTATGGTGAAAGTCACTTGTAAAGAGGAGCTGCGCACCAATGAGGAAGACACAGGAGTGCGAGTGACTCCGCCCATGTGAATAACGTGGAGCATGCTCCGAAAGCGATCAGGGCGCTAGTCACGGATGGGGCTACAACGAGAGTTATCGACGTAGCGTTGGAATGAAGGGTTTTGTTTACGATAAGCAGTAATAGTTCGTGATTACAGTGAAAACAATTAAGGGCACTTGGTATGGACAAACTCCAAACTATGATGCAACCGCCCGCGGAAACGGCGATAGGTAGGGTACTTTCAAAATTATTCGTAGGAGAAGAAAGTTTTGACATTTCGCAAACCATGAGCATCTCAGTGTGAGGCACTTACCAGGTGGGCGGGGTCACTGTGGTGAATGACGGTCCCAATAAAAATCCGAGCCGTGAAAGTGGCACACTCTGAGATCAGGGACTGGACTACCTCTTGCGAGGAAGCAGGTACCTGTCGAGATTTGCAAACTGCCTTCAAAACGTCCTGGCACAGTTCGGCTTGGAGGGGATGGCAAGTTGCTGGTTCCTATCTATCGTTGTGATCCCTCCTGTGAAGACCTGAAAGCTCTTGTAAAGTTATCCAGAGTTCGTCAACACCGGAGAACGGTTCACTAGCCTCATGCTCAGGACCTGTAAGTGAACAGGAATTGATAAGAGAAAATAGCGAACTCCAAATTGCCCCCCCCCTCTAAGCCGGCAGGGATCCCAGTATAGAACCCTATCCTTTGATCCGCAGGTTGTGAAAGAAGAAGTGCAGTTCTCTGTTGTGAACTCCGGCGACTTTTATCGAATATTACCAACTTAGTTAATGCCAAAAACAAATGAAAAGGACGATGGACACACTGTAATGCCAAGGGAGAAAAAATCTCAAAAAAGAAACATAAAGAAAGCTGATAAACCAACCGTTGATGACGCTGTCACATGCTTACATTCACCTGAACATTCGCCGAAACGCCAAAGAAGGAGAAAAGAAAGAACCAAGGAGCAGACTAAAGAGGCCACAAGTTTCAAGGTGAGCTGATTCGGAGGTGAAATATGACAATAGGGTCTAATCCAGCACATTACTGGCGATCTCGACCCAAAATGTGATGGGTACATGGAGCGTAATAAACATTGTTTGGAAAATCATTACCCTGAGGAAACCTGAAGAAGGGAAGAATGCGCAATTCAGCCGCAGGCAAAAACAGCTGACTCGATCATGATCCATTGCTGATCGATGTGACCATTTGTGGGCGTGTCGGTGTTAGTGGGAGTATGTATGGGCAGGCTATGTCTTGCGGAGAAGCTTAGACCCTTTTCGTGGGGAAAGACGCTATGTAAGGTTTCTTCAAGAAGGGGTATCCTTTGAAGATCGGCGTCTAGGAGGCTCTTCATAACGAGGAGGAGAAGAGAGCGTCAAGCAGAAGCTCTTCTTCTTAACGAATAGGAGAGCTGTGTAATGAAGGGGGCATAAGGGGCCCGGCTTTCCCATGGACCGTAAACTTAAATATAAACTCTGCACTCTCCTCTTACCATAAGTACAGTCCTTTCCATGTTCGAAGTGAAAGGGCTGCACTGTACTTTTTTCGCTCAAAAGTGCACGAGAAAGTGGCTGGTGTGCACTTATACCAGGGTACCGTCTCCCGACTTTGCCTGCGCTATCCTCAAAGTGCAGCACTTGCGTCTTTGCCAAGGTCCCGCAACGGAACACGTTCTCAGCGGTGGAGAATAACCAAATGTGAGTGGGTGCGAACAAGAAGAGCGTTCGGCTACGCTTGCTCGTGTGGCTGACCGTGCAGCAACGCGGGCGGAGTATGGAAGCAGCATTTGGGCATCACTACAGTTGAGCCCGACCCCGTACTTCCTTGAGGGGAGAAAAAGAAACACCTGCAGCTGCAGACCCTTCCTCTCCATATACGGCAAGGAATAGGATCCAGGGATGTGTTTGGGAAGGCACATAGTCACGTAGTTGCGAAAATGACACACAATTCTGCTTGTGGAAATATGGCTTTGTACAGATCCAGAAAACTACTTACTCTTTTTCAGACAAAGAGCGTTGACGCTGCACCAACGACCATTATGATCAACGTACCACCACGAGGTGCACCTGGAGCACCAGTATCGCCTCCATTAGCTGGAGGTCCTGCACCAGGGGCTCCGATTCCAGGGGCCCCAGTTCCGGGCGCCCCAGTTGTCCCGGGCCAGCAACAACCCGGTGACGCTCAGGCACCGGCGCCGCCTCCAGGTCTAGGATTCGCGTCTCCTGCTGGTCAACCAGGTCCACCAGGTCCACCGCAGGCACCACAAGCACCACAGCCATCACAGCCGCCACCTCCACCAGGAGCACAGGGACAACCAGCACCACCAGCGCCACCACAAGAACGGCAACAACCGCAAGTGGCTCAAGTGGCCGCCAGCGGCATGAAAATGGTACGTAGCTGAATTTTTGGGATATTCTCGCTCCAATCTCTGAACTGAATCTTTTCAAGGTGCAAAAGTGGGTTCAGCGCGCTCTGGACATGGGCGTAGATGCTTTGCGTGCGGAATATAGAAGCCTCGCTCGATATACACTACCAGAAATGACGGTCGATGCCTTCAGAGCCAATCAAGAGTTTGGAAGGAACAGGCAAGTTCACATTTATTTCTAGTGGATTCTATTCTGAGCACATTCCTTCGAGGACATCAGAAAATCCCCCACACTGATGTTCGTGGCGAATTAGGAGCCCAGTAAACTCGCTATGTACAAGCGAAAAGGACCCAGAAAACAACAACCCATGCAGAACTATGGGAGTAAAGACACACTTCACGTTGATCGTATAGACGGAGAAAGAGAACTGCCTCATTGGCCCTCTTTCCGTTTTACCACCCAGAGAAGGATGGACGCATCGTTGAGCAAAGCACAATGATTTGCTTTCCTCGCGCCAAACGAGTTATTCGGGAATGTGTCTTTCAGGATAGAACACTAATACAACGGCTTGTTCACAGTGGTCTCTACAGGAAAAATGCTATGCGTCGCCTACCAAGCGCATAAGCGGCTATGTATCCTGGATCAACTCTCACCCAGCGTTGCCTAACTACCCATCTTTTTGAGGCCACTCAGCGATATGACTGCGCTTAAGGTTCCCCTTTTAATGGAAGACATGCAACATCTTACCCGTTCTCCTCGAGGAGTCCTAGACCTATTCTTGAATCCCAGCCGATGAATAATTTAGCATTTTTGAACCTCCCAGACGAGTCTCCCACCAAATGAGTAGCCCCGAAAAGATGGAAAGCTAAGTTGCTCTAGGGCGGGAGCCAATCCAGGATTTTACGCCGCATGCTAGGCGACACTTGCCACTAACACTAAGCCACCGCCGCCAATGGTAAGGCAGCCATTTTGAAGGAGTTGGACAGGACCATCGTAGTTTGTCGCGCCATCGCGTGCGGTGCATTGTGCGGGATGCACGGCATTTTTCGATGAGCATCAGTTCTTCGATTGAAGCAGCGGAATTCAGCTGCGAGCTCAAGCTGAGGCAAAAATCTTGCCGGATGAGATTGGTTTTCCCCTTCAACATTTGAACTGGAACGGCCGAACAAAACAACCCGTCTCTCACGTGGGAGGCGTCGCTCGCCACTCACAGCGCGGCATATTACTGTTGCCTTGTCGCTTCCCGATCCCCAAGAAGAATGAAGAATGAAAATTTTTATATCTCCTGTACTAGTAAGGATCTATTCAGATATCAAGATGTACCGTGCCAGGATCAGCACCGCGTTGTACTTAAATGGCATCGTGCAGCCACAGATTACATTCACGCCAACTATGTGGGGACGCCGGTCGCACAAAGGCGGTTCATACTTACACAAGTAAGTAGTCATATGGTACCACATTCGGACTTCTTCACTGGTCAAAATTTGACCGTTTGAGGGACCACTGGAAGCGACAGTGAACGAATTCTGGCATATGGTACTGCAAGAAGAGGCGGAAACAATCATTATGCTCTGTAATTGCATCGAGACGGTCAGTCTGTGCGGTATTCCAATCCAGGAGTAAAACTGAGCGCTTCATTGTCGGAAATCGGAAATCGTAATTATTCAGGGTAAATACAAGTGTCATCCCTACTGGCCTGATAAAACGGGTGAAGTGAAGCAATTCAATGGTGTCGAAATCCTCAATGTGCAGGTGAGCGGTTGCAAATCGAGCAAAAGTACAGTCTTCTTCGCTGAGGCGTTCCAGAAGGCTGGGTTTGGCTCGGCGCCAGCCTGCTCTCCACGAGTTATGGGAGCTGGCAGGCCACCTCAGCCTCAGCCTTTCATGGAAAATCTAGTTATTGTAGCATATTTCTTATTACAGTACATTAGATTCTTACTTTATTCGATCATTAACGTCTTCTTTGAAGAGCTTTGGATCCCTTTCAGACTAGAGTGCTTTCACCTGAAGAGGTGACCGTGATGGTATGCATTTTGAATGTGAAATTCAATAAAGCCGATAATACAATGGAAACGAGGGAAATTCGACATTACCAGTGGATGGACTGGCCGGACAGAGGTGTCCCACCGCTGAAGCTCACGAGCATGGTATGGCTCATTACTTCCTAAAGGGCAACACTCGCGATGACCAGCTGTGAGCAGTAAGGTCAAATATGTACAATCAGAATCGGAAACACATCTTTCAGGAGCTTTTGTCACGAGTTCGTGGTACAAGCAAGCCTATAGTGGTGCACTGCTCAGCTGGTATTGGACGTACAGGCACAATTGTCGCTATCGAATATATTCTGGGTACGGTAGCTGTTCCAAGCATCAAAATTGGAGCTGGTGTTTAAGGGACAATTATGTGGCTGTTATAGAAAGGATGCAAGCGGGACATGAATGTGCAGCCATGAATGATCTGTTGAAAGAACTGCGGAATCAGCGTGCATATACAATTCAGAATGACTTGGTATCTTTCATCTTCCTTCATAGAAGCGAATTGAGAGGGTGATAAAGCACGTGACGGGACGAGTATGCGCCCACTTTGGTCGTTTACGTTCTCGTTCTGAGCCTACCCAGGGAACGGGATCACTAACTTGGTGAGAGCACGCAGAGGAAGCGACATAGTCGCCCTGCGTTGCGTCTATCCACCACACCCTCTGCACATTTCCACAGAAAAGAGGTCACAGCCCAGACAGCTTCATCGACGCTTCGCCTTCTTTCTCCTGTTGGCTCTCCGCTTTTTCTACGAACATCTCTGCCCAGGACACATCTTTGATGGAGATCGCAACAGGGGAGGTTGCATATGGTGGCTGGAGGAGTTGGAGTGGTATTTGGTCTGAGAAAAATTCTTCTTGATGATTGATTTTTCTTGTTTCAGGGACGCTATGAAGGGGTCTTGTTTCAGAGACCCCCCACTCACCCCACCCCCTCCCGCTCGACAGCAAAATTTTTGGGAAAAACTACGAAAATTTTCGGGAAATTGGGGAAAACTGGTAGGAAGTTGAGAAAATCTAAGAAAGTGATATGTAAGATGGGAAGGGGAGGGGGTCGTGCCAATCCCCTCGGAAAAAGAGGGGGGGCGTGACTTGACTTGACCCCAGGCTGGCCTCGAACCTGTACCTCGTGCTTACCGGGCATCCGTTGAGCCATCAGATCTCCTTCTTACCCTCTCATCTTGAAGCTCTTTATGGCCTGAAGGCTTATTAGGTTAATTTTTCAGCAATACCTATACATTCACCGAGTAATGTTGTGCTATTTTCTTGAGAAGCACAGGAATAGGTAAGTTTTAGCAATTACCGTATTATGTAGCGCTCACGCTTTGCGAATAAGCGCTCGATCCCAGGGTCGTACCTGCTATAACGGAGGGTGTACGTATCGACGTGAACAATCCGCGTTTCGGGAGAATGCGAAATTTCCGGGTAACTGACGACAACGACTGAGATGGGATCCACTGGGCTCTGCCCACTACTGAGCAGCGGATTCTGCACATTCGCAAAGCATGAACGCATTGAACTTCACAAAATACGTAGGTATATCGGAGATCTAGTGGGCGTGGCTGTGCACTCCGATAGGAGGAGGCGACAGCTGCGCTTCGAGTGAGGTATTCCCGTTTTGGATAAATTGTAATCGTGTCCATGTCCAGCATAGGATAGGATGCCAGTTGTCTCGAGTCTCATATATCCCCGCAAAACGTATCCAACGCCAGATGATCAAGTGGTTGCGCAGCCACGCCCTCCCCATCTTTGGGATATGTTGTTCAGCTCTAGTCTTGGAACTTATTTGGTTATGAAAGCAGTAAAATATACCACTGAAGACAAATCCTTCCCAAAATAATCAACAAAAACTGCAGGTATGAATCAATTCTTACGGAAGAAAACAAGGCGAAATACAAGAAGTTTGTTGAAGATTACAATCAGGCAACTGGTACCTAAAGATGATACCGGATCGAGAATGCTTCTTATTTGAATTCTTTTACCAGAACTCCTTTGTCTTTTGTAGTCGTTCTCAAATAATCACTGTAAACTGACAACAGTGGATGACTTCTGAATGCATTAATGGATGTATTTCGTGATTTATAAATAATAAACATGTAATGTTTATTTATAATGCGGTTTCTCTTCCACATTCATCCTTTTAAAAAGTACAGAAGAATTTCAAAGTATTCATGAAGAACAAATGCAATGACGGCTCTCTGCCAGTAAGGGTGGGCAGCAGTGATTCAGAAGGAACTCTGCCTGAGCTAGTTGTTCGGCGCATCATGGCTCACAATTGTTTCTTTACAAACCCCTACCCTATAACAGCGAGGGGATTCTCCGCTTATAAAAGCCCTGAGAGCGCTGAAATGCCGCACTTTATTGGAGCGTCTTCCACCCACTAATCATCTCAAGGCGCTCTAAGTATAGAAGATTCTTTTTTCACAACAACTTCTCGCCAACAGTAACGGCTAACTTCACAGTAAAAAGTGAAACATGTCATATCACCACTATGGACAGCAGTCTTCCCTACTTATTCACATTACATATGAATACACGTAATTCAAAAAATAAATACGGCGCAGACTTGGTGGGAGTACTGAGTAATTCTCAGCTAAGATGGTGCAGACCACTTTATGGAGACCTGTAGATTACTGTAACCGTTTGGCTTGAATCACACCTTTTCGTAGCTTCAAAAGAAGTTACCAGTTTCTAACATGAGCCCATAAAAGGAGCTAGAAAAATGCAAAATGCTCCTTCCAAGCCAATTGGCGCCAGAAATATTGGTAAACATGGAATTCCTTCACTACGTCTTATCGGTCTCCTGCTTGACAAGGTGTTCAAGGTAGGAAGATGAAGGTAATCGCACAGCCTCCTCGTAGTCATCTTGCTCGGTTGGTGCGGCCTCCTCGTGGTCATCTTGCTCGGTTGGTTCTGAGAAGGAAAACGACTCGTTTATAAGTTCTGAACGCCATGAACATGCCATGACGATGGAGACAAACCTTTCCCATACTCGTTCAGGAGAGATCGGAGGTCAGAATGTCTTCTGTCAAGGAATCACCGTCTTCTTCTGCTTTTTCTACAGCTTCCTTATACATCATTGCCTTTAGACGTCTCAAATTCCTAACAAATGATTGTCATTTAGTAGTGGTTTGATTGTTCGCGAATGAATGCTCAAAGTGGAAAAATGTGCAAGTTGGAGGATGCGCGCTGAGACTGCGTCCAGACTTCGCGATCGCGCGATCGCGCGCGCGTTTGGGTAGCTTGATCGGATCCCGCGACCACAATCGGGGCGCTCTACGGATAAACGGTGCACCGCCACAACGGCACAATTCAAACTGACACTGTATGAAGACAGCCCAATTTGGATTCTGCCGCTTCGGCGATTTGCACCGTTTGGCAGTCGCTCGAACGGATCGTCCCGATCGTGGTCGCGCGATTCGTTCGAGCGACCAAAACGCGCGATCGCTAAGTCTGAACGCGGTCTGGGAATTACTGCGTTCTTCCGATTAACGCACTGGACCATGTTCATACTTTGCGAATGTGACTGAGAGTATCCGCGAGTTCGCACATGCGGTGATTTCGTCACATTGCCCACGGACAGGAGGGTACATGAATTGGATCTGGCGATTGTGGTAGATCGGTGGACGACCTTCCTTTTTGAAGCGGCAAGCCGGCATTTCGAGTGGGACGCCAAAAAAGTGGATGGTATTACCGGCACTCAGGTTGCTAGCGACGGGCGGAATTATCGCAGTCCGACGATTTGAGGGTTGATCAACCCGGTGGATTTCCCTGATCAAAGATCGATTGATTCTCCTGTGACTTCCTTGTGCGCAGTTCTGATCTGGAGTGGCTGAATCTCTCAACCGCGTAATCTCCTCGGGTCCGAATAGTATGACGCAGCCTCGACGTATTTATATTTTCATGCTGAAAGATAGAACGCGGGAAAAAACAATTCTGCGAAAGAAAGGAGACTAATTCTTTGAATTAATATCAAATGTCAAAACAGCAACATACGTGCAATTGGTGATCTTCTATTTCCCGTAGCGCCTGATGCCTTCATAAATACAAGTCGCATTTTCTCCCTCTCCTCTGCATCACCCAGAGTTTCGTCATCGAAAGCATTCAACATTTCCATATACACATCTCGACATCCTGTCCTAACATACCGCGGATCCTGCTGCATTTCCCTCCATTTCTAAACACACGGAAGTATAGAATACGAAAATCTGAGAAAAGAGAAAGAGCACCTATTCTAGAGTCGGAGATTACGTCAAAAAGATCAGGTAAAAATCTGTCGACTTCGACCGGGGTGCAGAATCGGAAGCCCTTGGAAAGAAACTGATACATGTCGATCTTGCAATTCGATTCGACGAATCGATAAAGTGAAACAATTGATAAGTCATTTTTTTGGCCTATAGTAGTAATGAAGCGTAAGGCGCGAATCCCGATTAAAAATGTATGCGGCTAAATACTAGTGCCAAATAAATCGTTGACAATTCGAGACTAAATGGAGCTACTGTTGTAGAAATCTAATAAATGAGAATTTATTGTGGGGCGCGGGGGGGTGGTTTATCGAAAGCAAAGAGATAGCTCAGCTTCCGTTTCGCACGTGCCCTTAGACGGAAGCCGAGCAAAAGCATATTCCTCCTTCCGTGCTCCTCAGTAAGGAAAGGAAGAAAAATCAATTGCAGCAAGTTTATAAGGATATAAAGTTGAAAACGATAAAGACTGAGAGGTTTAAGAATGCTAATTGATTGGATAACGTGAGTAGGACATCGTAATTACGAAAAAACAGACTATCAGTTGATGTTATATTATATCTATCCGAAAATACTACACGACACATGCAGGTAAAAAAATGTGTTACATAGACACCAATTTAAACGAAAAAGCCACTGAGAATACCTCGGACTAATCTGCTTATGCTACCGTAATCATTCGTAATTAGAAGTATGTTATGGAACATAGTAAGTGTTATTTCTAGTAAGCGTATAAGTTTATTTCGTAGTAAATACTGCTTCACTTCTCCTAGCTATAATGAAGTACCACCCGTAAACCACTGCTATAAAGCCTTACCATATCCGATATCCTTCTTATAAACGTATCAAAACAAGTACAGGTGTTGGCTATCCTAAGGGTTTCTGTGTATATAACGGAAGCCTTGTTGTTAGTGGAGATATTTGAATCACTGTGTGGGAATCTAATCACTTTGAAGTTAAAGTCATCTGTTTTATTATATAAACCAGTAGTAATTTGGCCGTTTCTAATATGATTGTTAAGTAATTACTGATATCAGTCGTTTTGTAACGTTTACTAAGCAGATTAGGTTCTTTTCCACTGACTCATTTATAGACCTCAGCGAGTTGTTCATCGACTTCATTTCAGACTGGTTATGTATGACTAGGAGATCATCCATATATCTATATGGAATGAGCAATTTACTATTAGGTTGGTCGGAAAGGAACGCGCGTTGACTTGTCTATTTATTTCTGCTTCTTCTTATTTACTATAGGAGATTTTTCAAAACAGTTTTGTCCATTAGAGAGAGGTTTTATTGCGCATCTTTTGATATATTTTTTCTATGTCTACCTTGTTTTTAGAGAAAAAAGTTTAGAAAATGCTCGACCAAAAATTTCGAATGCGAGCTTGTATGTGGTAAGACTTCAAGCAAGTCCTAACGACGCACTTGGGTGGACCTAATGACCCACTCGGCTCACAGGGGCAGCGGGCGGACCTAGCGACACACTCGGCGAGAAAACTGGCAAAAAGAGGCTCTTTTGACCTACATTTCCTCTCCGGCGGACCTAACGACACACCCGAGGGGAAAAGTAGTGAAAGAGGCTCTTTTGGCGAAGTTTTTGCGTACAGTTGGCAACAAGTCATTGCTAGTAATGGAGATTATCTTTTAGATTGACCTTGTTTAATTTCGTTTTTATAATAAAAAATTTTTTACACTCAAACGCGCATTCCTTTCCGAACAACCTAATAGCATAAAATCTATTGCACTTTGCATAATTATATTCCATGACTGACAGCGTAAGATCTGCCAACTGAAGCTGAAGTTGCCTCCGATTCCCCACTGGCAAAGTGAAAGCCACGAACGTGGCCTAGTAGAAAGACCAGGAGCGTAATACACTAATTTTTGGAAAGTTAACGATTGAAGATAACTAAATATTTCTACCGTAATAAAGACTTGCCTTATACATCAATCTTTCCACCTTGTCTTCATAGCAATCGTGGAATACCACACATGTGGATTCATCGCAAGGGGTCAAGACCAAGAATCTCTACCAATTGCCTGAAATGTTTTTTTTCAATCTCACAAGGGAAACAAGTGGCAAAAAAAAGGAGGAGAGAAAAGAGTGCAGCCTAAAAATCGTGATAAATACTATATAAGGCCAAATAGAGACGCACATTTTATAGAGAACAAGTACTGCAAATAAGGGAGCCTGCAGAATTACTAAGAGCTGCAAGAAGCTCTGAAGACAAAACTGCAAAAATACGAACAGTTCAAGAAGAAGCAGATGAAAGAGCCTTTCTCTCAAGAGAACAGACGCTGGTTCAATACAAATCCGCAGTTTAGTACGGTCTACGGCTCAATGTTCATAAGTTGTGACTGAGATTCGGCGGTTTGGGAGACTTGGCAAGGAAAGTATAAATATCGATTAGGCGCCTGGGAAGAACCGGCGATTTGGCGCCGGTTCCCCGAATCTCCGCAATCGCTAACGGTCGGCACCGATGATACCCACTCACTCACTAGACATGAAATCCCGTGTCGACGACCACTAGATCGGTACCTAAAGTATCGCGATCTCTCGAATAGCCGAGTTTCCCTAACCGAATCAAATCTCCCCATCGCAAAGTGAGAACGCGGGCCTGAGCATAGGAATGCGTTAATAGTTCGCGATTAGGTCGCTCTGACTGGCGCACTCTAACGTAAGGCCAACAGGTTGCGTTGCGGGTTCGGGTCGACATAAGGATTCGTTCATACTTTGCGTCAGCGTTTCGAGCGTAAGGAAACGATTTGAGCGTTTCGAGCGACTTAAGGTGTAGATATCGATCTAGCGTTTCGAGCATACTTCAGCCTTTTCAGCGACTGCCCGCGAAAAGGATAATTGTAATCTGCCGCTCCGTCGCGCGCGAGATGGGTACGGCGTTTCCCTTAGTCATTAGCCTGTCAGTTGGAGCACTGGATTTCACTTGGGTTACGAGACGGTAGGCATTTGAATATTTTCGGTTCTAAATGCCTGTTGTCCAGATCTACGACCTGGAACCATCGTCATTTGCGGGCGCGACGTCGCACGCGACGCCCATCAGCGCGGCGAATTACGATTCTCTTGTACCCCCCCGCGAAGTACTCGAAATGTTGATCGATATCTGTACTTTCGTAGTCGCTCGAAACGCTGCCGCGCACAGCACAGCAGCCCTGTACTGCATCATCGGCAAAAAACAAATACTGGACGAGAACAACATGGATTCTGAGCCACCTTTCAAACAAAACTAACAGATTCCCGAACAAAAAACTCGTTGGAATTTTGAAACGGACTAGGAATTATTTTGCAGCGAGAAATGAGCCTTACCTTAATTGTGACAATAGGTCCGATCTTCTTGCATTCCCTACATCGATATACATCGTGATTATGATTTGACCTTTTGAACAGGAATATGTAGCACTTCTCGCTACCAGGAATAGTATACCGTAAGACATCATGCTTTCCAAACATGCTCATCTCTCGTTCTCCGGGATACCGTTGACTTATGGAGATCTAGTGCGATGATGATTGGTGCTCTTTGAAGTTCCGCAGATTCAGAAGGAACAGTGTGAATTTCCGTCGATTCAGGAGCTGTGTGAATTTCCGTCGATTCAGGATCTTCATCTTCAATAAAGGGAGAAGGCAGTTCTACAGCGGAAGATCGCACAAGTCGAACAGGAAATAAAGGGAATTGGATGTGTGACCTTGAGTTCTAGTCGCAGTTAGAATTCTGAAGATGAGCGGAGATTTGGCGGGAACAGCAATCGGTGGGTGAGGTGAGCAATTTCGCGTTCCGGAAGTAGGTGCGAGAAAACGATTTGGCTCAGATTGGATTGGCGGACGATGTTTGGCCTCGGAAAGGTACTGGGACGATCGCCTTGGCGAAACGAACCCAATCGGTAGCGTGCTTAGAGGTGTAATGGGTTGAAGCCGAGGCTAGATGTCGGCTCCGAAGAACTTTCAGGGCCATTCGATGGCGAGGGAGGTACCAAGCGAAAGTGAGAATGAGCAGATGAGTATCTCCGTGAAATAAGTGGAGTTGCTTGAGCGAAGGTGAATTAGGCCCAGGCTCGAAGGAAGCAGGAAAAGGGAAGTCCTCATCTTCAGGATCATCCGTAGGAAGTAGTTGAGTCACGTCAATAACGTCGTCGTCTTCTGTGACATCCGAGGCAAGCATTTCGAGCAGGGAAAGAGGACCACTGCACTGAATCTCCGGGCGTACGTTTCTTCCTCGCGAGCGTGCGCGTCGCGGCTCCCCACTTCGGCAATTTGGCCTCGTCCTGTGTGTGGAGTGACTTCCCTGTTCAGCTGTAGGGTTTACACTCTACTTGCAACAATTGGGCATTGGACAATAGGGTAGAGATATGGTCTTACGATGAAATATCGACCTGAAATTGGAGAAAATCTCACTGTTCCAAGAGGGCTACAGCGATCACAGCCTTGCGGGAGCTGACCACTGAATCTACATAGGAGGAATCTATGTTCCCGGATTCCCCATCCATCAAGGGCAGAACGCCAAAAACAACGAGCGTTAATCAATATCACAAAAGTTGCAGTTGAGTCTGGCTGGCATTGCGCAAATGCACACAACCTGCGTCATGGACGTAACATTCTTATGAACTCCAATTATTCACATGCACAGCGTTCGATGGGGATTCCCTATGGGAGGGAGCGTCGTATGAGGCCGCCAAAAGGGGGGGGTCGTATTTGGGCTGGGAAAAATTTATTTTTATAGTTGATTTTCTCGCTTTGCGACGTCCGAAGGGATGGTTCGTAGTGGCTCATTGTTGGGAGGGACGGTCGTAAAACTCGACAAAATCCCCATCGAATGCATGTGCCCTGATTATTCAAGTAGCCTACTATTTTAGATTATGGTTGTGACATTCACTAAGGAGCAGATTGATAGGTTTGGTGCAGTACTGAACGACACAAGGTTCTGAATTTCTCAAAATTTGTTGATAGCTCGTTTTGCAAAGTAATTTTGTTATTTTTTTCCAGCAAACCACTTAAAGCTCGATTCCGTGCATTATTCATATTACGGAATATTGGTTGTGATCTATCTGTAAAATGGATTGCAAATTCGCACGATGATCGTCTGCAACTGCTTCAGCACGAAACTGCATATTGTCGTGGTCAAATGCAAAATAAAACTGCGCATACCAGTAAATGATTTCTTAGGGATGCCAAACAAGGTATTTGTTTCAAGTGGATCTTCAAGTCTCAGTTTTTTTATGGTACCCATTGACAGAACCCATTGTTCGCCATGAGGCTGGAGAAGCTCTTGGTGCTATTGGCGACATATCAGCTCGAGAAGTTCTTGAGGAGTATGTGAAGGTAACGGTGCTAATGTAGTTGGGGGAGGGGAGCGAACACTCTCTCATTGTGTGTTCCCTATCCTCAAAACAGGCTTGCTCAGCACCAGACGCACCACAAGTCGCCCAGTTAAATTTCACCAACTAAGAACGGTATTTCATGTGGTCTGGTAGTAAGCCTCGGCTTGGGAAAGTCGCACAGACGAGGGAACACCAACTACGTTAGCATCAGTAACTCTTAACGCAGGTATACCAATGGTCTTACATTCCATCCTCGAGATGGAGGAGGCGTGACTGTGTACTGCATATTGCTAACCCACGTTTTCATGGGATGTTGCCGATTGAGATGGCTGCTGTCCTGCTTCATGCTGGGCAGAAACACGATGGCAGTTGCCAACTAGCAGCAGCATCCCACCAAAAGTGTGGTGGTCTTTACTTCCAAGTAGAGTACGCAGCCCTCTCTTTCTTTGGGATATGGCTGAGATTGAGTTATTGGGGTTAGACCAAGACGTGTAATCTAATATGCTAGAGACAAAACCTTCTACAGCGGTGCCCACTTCTGTCTGTGGGGCCTTTTTTTACTCACTAGTTTTGCCTTCAGTGCCTAAAATCTCGCCATTGCAGGATCCGTGCCAAGGAAAATACTCAGACTTGTGAACTGGCTCTAGCGAAGCATTGAGTAGCTTAACCACAGTGGAGATTAAACGAAAGCCCCTATCAAAGCATAGGTATGCCCTTAGGCAGTGTTCAGACTTGATGACGGGCCATCGCGACGTCCAAGCGCTGCTTTACATCTTTGTAGGACCTTTCACCAAGCAGTACACTTCTAGATCCAACATCGACGGCTTCTACTGATAATGTGACTGAGCTTGGTGCTACTCTTGTGGATAAGTCTAAACCTCTATGGGATCGTTACAGCGCAATGTTTAAATTGAGGAATATCAACACAGATGCATCAATAAAAGCGCTTGCTCAAGGTTTCGTTGTTTTTATTCTAGGTTCGCTGTCATGAAGCGCGCTCGTTCCTTCAGGATGGGCCTGGCCCAGACGCGATCCCCTTCAGTTGTTTTAGCAGATAAGCAACGAAAATTGGTGGAGAACGACTGTACGAAAGAAGTGATTCAGTTCTGCTGCTTGTTGGCTTCAGAAACCGGTGAGAGCCGCGCCAAACCTATCCCGCCTGACACGCCCCTTCATCCGCAATGAACAAGACTGCTCTTTCATTGATTCCTCTTCATTCGCTACTGCAGATTCTATGTTTAGGACTTTACTGTGAAGACAGTGCACTGCTGCGGCATGAGGTTGCCTACGTGCTAGGTCAGGCACAGTCTCCAGTGGCGATCAAAGAATTGGAAGACCGATTAACCCTTCTCAGCAGTGAGCAGTGCATTCTTACTCATCCTCTGAAGTTATTGTTGTATTACATATCAGATGAAAGGCCGCGGTGATACGAATTCTTTCACCTTTCATGGTTCTTATTAACCGAACTCCCTGCTTTTACGCCGTGTCGGTTTGTTACATCTCAACCCTCAGTGGGCAATGTTTCCGGAAGTGTGTCGACATCACACAGACCGATTCCTCGCGAGGCGCTGGTTATCTTAGGCCGCGTTCATAGCTTGCGTTCGTGAAGAAATGCAGAAGTGCGGAATCTGCAGAAAAGCAATAGATACGTATCGACTTGAAGAAATGCAGAAATGCCGAAACTGCAGAAGTGCGGAAATGACGAAAAGCATTACATACGTATCGATCTGAAGAAATGCAGAAATTGCCGAAACGTGAAAGAAGCGTAGCGAAATCTCAGAAATGCCGAAAAGTGAAGAAGTGCGGAATCTGCAGAAATGCCGAAAGTGAAGAAGTGCGGAATCTGCAGAAATGCCGAAAGTGAAGAAGTGCGGAATCTGCAGAAATGCCGAAAGTGCGGAATGTGCAGAAAAGCAACCGATACGTATCGATTTTCCACACTTTCGGCATTTCTGCAGATTCCGCACTTCTTCACTTTCGGCATTTCTGCATTTCTTCAAGTCGATAAGTATCTATTGCTTTTCTGCAGATTCCGCACTTCTGCACATTCCGCACTTCTTCACTTTCGGCATTTCTTGCAGATTCTGCCGCATTTCCATTCGCATTTCTGCAGATTCCGCATTTCTTCACTTTCGGCATTTCTGCATTTCTTCAAATCGATACGTATGTAATGCTTTTCGTCATTTCTGCACTTTCCGCACGTCTGCAGTTTCGGCATTTCTGCATTTCTTCAAGTCGATACGTATCTATTGCTTTTCTGCAGATTCCGCACTTCTGCATCCTCTACTTCCGCACTTACTGCTTTTCCGCATTTCTGCATGTCTCCACGAACGCAAAGCTATGAACGCGCCTTAGGAGAGCGTTTTTGCAACTTTGGCTAGTTTTTTCCCAGTATCATGTTAATGAGCTCATTTAGCAGACGTTTCTCTGGCTTCTTCCCCCCCCCCCCCCACCTTCCCCGCAACTTCTTTTCAAGCTAAGTAGCGCCGCTCAACACTCCACCGCTCTGAATGTCCCTTTCTTCTAACCAACCTAGCCAAATAAGAGCGCAAAGACTATCTGCTAAACAAGAGCAGCACGCGGCAAATCCGACTCTGTCACTGAGACTGAGCTTTCTTAGAAGAAAGAAAAAACCAGACGCTGTGCAGCCCCCCCCTCCAGCCGAGTGCGTTAACGCCCCTTTGCGTCGAACATTTCGACATCTTAGCGCAAACTGCAGTAGGATTGTGACGGATTATGTGTCTCTGACGAGACATGTGGTAATCTATAATATCCCAGCAGTTTCATTTCATATTATACTGTTTCAGAACTGTATGGTTCGACATGAATGTGCTGAAGCGCTTGGAGCTATTGCCACTGAACATTGCACGTCCTTATTACAGAACTACGTCAGTGACGAAGAGGTATCCTTTGCCCAGCACATCACATAGCTGATTTTTTTACACGAGGGGTTGAGTATGGCGCAGCGCCTCCCGTTTCCCCAAGCTTCGGTCGCTGCCGGCTTCAGGCATTTGGTGGTAGAGCGGACTCCTGGCAGAACCCACGGGAGAGAATGGACTGTGAGAAGCGGTCGATCAAGTTAATCGCCAGCCGTTGAAGTAATTGTTTCCAGCTAAGTTTGGTTTCATGTGAAAAGTTCCGAGAGTCGCGCTTATTTATATGGCTGAGTACGCGAACAGCGATGAGTTTAAACTACTGCCAGTACAAGCATAAGCTACGAAAATTGAAACAAGAATCTGTTCATCACTTTTACATGGTTGTTTACCAAGACATGTTGGTTTGTTGTCTTTCCAATTACGACCGAACTGCGTTAAGTTGTAATTACCGTTGTGTTTGAAATAAAAATTAATATAATAAAGACATTGTGCTTCGTGAGTGTAAATCAGTTGGTCGCCACCATATGACTTCCAGTTATTCCGTGTTGATGATGTAACATTGATAACAATTTCGGCATAGCCAAGTAACACTCCCATTATTAGTCCTCAAAACGATCAGTCGTCCGTTTCTGTAGCAATATTTTTAAGCGAAAAATCTGATGTTTTGCTGAGTTTCCACTTCGAATGTGCTCGGCTGTATATTTGTCATCCCCCACGGGAACTATGTGGAAAAGTGTTTTCGTTGTTGATTTGCAACTCCATGTCCAATATAACAGTGCGGTGCGAGAGAGTTGATGCGTACTTCATTGACTAGTCGGTTGCCTTTGCATCTGGACAATATATTGCTTTGATACTATCCATCTTCTTTTCCGCCTATGACACAGCATTCTACTTGGCTTTCTAGTGAAAGAATACCTTGGAAAAACACCCACCACCATGTGAAAATTGGCATACCGCGCTTCCCCCTCCTAACCTTCGTGAGGTACGAATGTAATAGAAACGTTTCAGAATCTATTAACTGGTAGCCAATAACGAAAAAAAATTTCGGCCTCAGTCGCATGAGGAGCACAGTTGCGGCCCGTTTTGCTCGTTTCGCGGCAACTGTGCCGAGCGGTAAGTTTTTGGGTTTATGTTATTGCAGTCGTTTTACACCCTCGTTTTAGGCAAGATGAAAGCTGTCCGGCTATGCATTCCACGGCAATATATGACCTCTTGCACTTCACCGGTTTGTTTTTTTATAGTTACATGAATAGTTAGTATAATTACTGTCGGATCTACCGGTTAAACTGTTAGGTTCTCCAGTCGTAAATGAAAAGAACAAAACCACGGCGAGTACTCATTTATCTCATGCTCAGAGCAGGTTTTTCTTTGGCACAGATATAGCAGAGGTCTGCAGTCCAATCAGAGCACGCCGTAGTTGGCAGGGACCGGTGGGGGACGCATTTTGTTGCTGGAGGGAGTATGGGCGTACTTGTTTTCGAGAAAAATGTTTTCGTAATTGATTTTCCTTGAGATTATCTGCTCCAAGTGTGCTATATCCCTCCCCCCCCCCCCCTCCTCTCCCCGCCCTGCTCATGTGCAGTTTTGTGGAAGAAGTGGAGTTTTGCAAAAAATAGAAAACGAAAAGTGTGAGAAGTTGGGAAGATCCAGGAAGATGGTAGTACTGTGGGATAGGGGAAAGTACTGCAGCGTCACAGTTTGGGAGGGGTTGTAATTTGCAAAAGTTCACCCGACATGTCCCGTGTCCAGTAGGTTACCGATCAAGGATTGTACCGGCGTCAGAGAAACAACCCTTCCGTGTAAGAGCAGGTTCTCATTCTCACAAGCATTTCAGACCTAGGAGCTCTTCGTCTCTCAGGGCTTCCGGAGAATCTGTTTTTTTTCACTATCCTGCGGACCTATGCTATAATTGCGCACTCACTAGTGGATTTGCAGGAGCAGTTTTCAATATCTGATGTTGGTCGACTCTACAAGATTCCCCGTGAAGAGGTTGAGGCGTTGAGCTACAAGCGGCTGCTTCCCTCTACTCTTTGTAAACAGTACGATACACTTGAGGAACTAGTGACTATGATCAGAGAGCCATTGATAGAGGTGATTGCATTTGATATTTTTGAGTCTGTTACGAATTAAGAGTTCAGAGGTTTTGTTCAGGTATCCGTATGCATGAATGCGGTGCGACCATCGTTTCCTGCTCTTCGCCTAGTTTTGTGGGGCCCCTTTGGTACTGGTAAATCAGTGACTTTAAATCAAGCGGTTCATCTCGCCTATACTAAAAACATGGTCATCATTCATCTGAGAAGTGGTGATTATTTTTCATTCAGTTTAGTCTG